TATCGTACAGCACACGCCACAAGACCTTGAGGAATCCCCCGACACTTGTACTCAGTGTCACACCACGTGAGGAAGGGGTGAATGTCGACGCTAAACCTCCTGAACAATGTAGCAGTCAGCGGATTGTACAGTAATACATTCTACTGTAATATAAAGAGGTAAGAGCATCGTTCTATATTCATGTACATGTAGCAAATAACAACAGTGAATGAAGATTTTGAAGTGAATTTTAGAAAATGACGAAAGGCTATGAAATTTTTTTAATTGGAAAACATGCGAAATATAAACTGGAAATAACTAATATAAATAAGGGCCATGTACTCGCCTAGTTGTGTATGCGGGGGTTGAGCTCTGGCTCTTTGGTCCCGCCTCTCAACTGTCATATGAGATGGCTGTGTGCTGTTGCGTGCAGTAGCCTTAATATTAATAAACTAGTAAAGCAGAGAGCCGGCAAACACAACTCTTAGTTATTAGTATGAAAAAAAAGCATGAGTTAAGTCATAACATCTTCCTGTTTAGAGAGTACTTATAGTAATAATGTGGACCATCGTTGTTTTTATTATTAACAAGCTTAAGTATACACAGTAACATGCTGCTACACTATTCTATATGGAGAATTACAAAGTGTGAAGTTAAAACTTGGTATAAGTTAAGTAATATGCCCTTCTCAGAGGATGGTTAGTCATATATGGAGTCACGCGATGTGTCTAACCCATTAGCCTGTACTGACAAGCTCTGGGTAGAACACAAGAATATCTTCCAGTATTCCTGTGTCTATGAAGTAGTTACAGAGCTCAAAGTACCTCATACCATTTGGTCTGAAATCATTGATAACAGGCCAATTACAGATATAGTGTTGTTAGTGTGTCCCAGCTCTTGTTCACATAGTTTACAATTAGAATGTTCACCATTGGGGGATTCATCACCGGCAGCCACCTGCCAGAGTTATTGATATCTCAGCCTAATTCTGGAAATTACAATGTGACACTGTCTAGTACTCACCTAATTGTGCTTGCGGGGGTTGAGCTCGACTCTTTGGTCCCGCCTCTCAACTGTCAATCAACTGGTGTAAAGATTCCTGAGCCTACTGGGCTCTATCATATCTACATTTGAAACTGTGTATGGAGTCAGCCTCCACCACATCACTGCCTAGTGCATTCCACCTGTTAACTACTCTGACAATGAAAAAATTCTTTCTAACGTCTCTGTGGCTCATTTGGTTACTCAATTTCCACCTGTGGATGATTTGTGCTGTTCGTACATATCTCGGTTCTAAACAAGTTCTTTTATACTCGTGCCTTCTGGCCTTTAAGTGTCAGTGACTGCTCTTCTGTCAGCCCTAATTTCTGGCGTTTAATGAACAGGTGCATGAGGTGATAGAACACGCCTACCATATCTGTCCTGCCCATGAGGCTTCCACGTGTACTCATCTAGTTGTGCTTGTGGGGGTTGAGCTCTGGCTCTTTGGGCCCGCCTCTCAATTGTCAATCAACTCTTTTTTTTTCCACACACACACCCAGGAAGCAGCCCATAGCAGCTGTCTTACTCCCAGATACCTATTTACTGCTAGGTGAACAGGAGCATCAAGGTGAAAGAAACTCTACCCATTTCTTTCCGCTTCTGCCGGGGATCGATCCCCGGACCCTAGGACTATGAATCCCGAGCGCTGTTCACTCAGCCGTCAAGCCCCCTGTGTGTCCTTACACGGACACAGGTGGATGCTGAGAGCCCAAATGAGCCACAAAGACACTAGAATGAACTTTTTCAGTGTTTGAGTAGTATATAAATGAAATACACTAGGAAGTGATGTGGGTGGAAGCTGACTCCATATACAGTTTCAAGTATAGATGTGAAAGCTCAGTAACTCAATTGAGTTATTATATTAACTAAATTATATAGCTATAATATATATAACTCAATTATAGCTCAATAACACCTGTAGACTGACAGTTGAGAGGCGGGACCAAAGGACCGAAGCTTATCCCCCGCAAGCACAACTAAGTGAGTACATGCCTGAATTTATTTCGTTTCCATTTCAGACTTCAGGGGGGGGGGGGGCTGCGTTTCATGACATACTACTTAAAGCATTTACCCTAGTAAGGCTAACTCCAAGCGTCCTGCACAGACATTCTCTCATTTAGTATACAACGTGTCCTTCGGTATATATAACTCAGCACTGTAAACCAGGCATGACAGGGCAGATCTCATTGAAACTTTTAAGATACTGAACAAGTTAAAGGATGTTGAAATTGAAATAAGTTTATTGAGGTAAAATACACAAAAAAAAAAAAAAAAAAAAAATGTTGAAATTGAAATTGAAATAACAAAGGGATGAGATAGCTCAAGCTATTCTCATCCCGTTCAGTACGTGTTCATACATATATATAGACACACACCACAAACAATCAACAAATTGCCGGACATTCTGAGAGATAAACATACAATTCAAATCAAATCAAATCAAATGTTTATTTAGGTAAGGTACATACATACAAGAGAATTTACAAAGAGTGATGGATTTATAGATAGAGCAAGTACATACAATGCCTAAAGCCACTATTACGCAAGCGTTTCGGGCATGAAAAACTTAAATGACTAAAGCTTAATACTAATTGAGCATAAAGAGTAAAATGAAAACATGGAATGAAAATATAGCTGAAAAAGCAGCACAAATACAATTCTGTCGACAAACAGCGCTCTTTAAAAAAAAAAACAGACATTGGTTGACAATTCCTCCTTTACACAAGTAGTATGGTATCAGACGTACACAAATATTTTTATGACTTAGATTAGAGTATGTTGATCGGATATTTTCTGCAGACGGTCATTTGTAACACAAGAAAACAAGCCACAATGTGTAGGACTGAGAACAGGAGATGCTTTTTCACCCACAGGGTTATTAACCCATGGAACCGCCTACCCGCCGAAGCCGTAACTGCCAAAACTGTGCCGTTTCAAAATATACCTTGAAAAGATCAAGGCAAATGACGGGACCTTCGACAAGCCGCCGGCTTCCTGTCCTCGTCTCATATATATATATATATATATATATATATATATATATATATATATATATATATATATATATATATATATATATATATATATATATATATATATATATATATATATGCAAACAAGCCTGAATGGTCCCCAGGACTATATACAACTGAAAACTCACACCCCAGAAGTGACTCGAACCCATACTCCCACAACTGGTATGTACAGGGACGCCTTAATCCGCTTGACCATCACGACCGGACAAAAGGAAGTGATAGCCGAGGCTATATGAACCACTTCCCCGCCGACACTCGGATGGTAATCTTGGGCATAGCATTTTATCAAATCACCTCATTCTTTGGGGCACACGTGAGGAACACAAATGCAAACAAGCCTGAATGGTCCCCAGGACTATATACAACTGAAAACTCACACCCCAGAAGTGACTCGAACCCATACTCCCATCCATACATCCCATACATCCGAGTGCCGGCGGGGAAGTGGTTCATATAGCCTCGGCTATCACTTCCTTTTGTCCGGTCGTGATGGTCAAGCGGATTAAGGCGTCCCTGTACATACCAGTTGTGGGAGTATGGGTTCGAGTCACTTCTGGGGTGTGAGTTTTCAGTTATATATATATATATATATATATATATATATATATATATAATATTTGTGTTCACAAATCTTAAACAAATCGTTTAAAATATTTAAACGAACTCAAATTTTAAATTTCAAAAACATTCTTCCTAACAATATACATTAGTTGTATATGTATGTATATATGTATACATCTTGTGTAGATTGCTAGGAAGAATGTTTTGAAATTTAAGATTGTGTTTGTTTAATATTTTTGATTTGGATTTACTACGTGCAGTTATTACGAAACAAATATTTTTTGTTTTTGAAAAACAAAAACCCAACCACTTGGGCTGGACGGTAGAGCGACGGTCTCGCTTCATGCAGGTCAGTGTTCAATCCCCGACCGTCCAAGTGGTTGGGCACCATTACTTTCCCCCCGTCCCACCCCAAATCCATATCCTGACCCCTTCCCACTGCCATATAGTCGTAATGGCTTGACGCTTCCTTAAAAAAAATACGAAACAAATATCTCAGATGTGGATACAGAACTATGTATGTGTTAAATATTAAGGGGAATTATGCATTGGGGAAAACGCCAAAGTAACGAATATTAATTTAATGAACAAGACACAGGGCTACACACGCAAGAAATACAGTTCATATAAACGGGAATGGTACTATAAAGGGTCTAGTTTATTTATTTATATGATTGATAGATCATCAATAACGTACAGGAAGCATGTGGAATGGACATTGCTACTGCTCCAGCATCTCGCCTATTTCTTTTCTACACAACTTCGGCCAGACTACCACTAGGCGAAGTTGTGAACCTCTCATATCACTCCTTCAGGCTCCATTGTAGCCAGGTCTACAACAGCAGCGTCACCGACCTCAGGCTGGCAGCGTCCCAAGTCTGGCTATATAGGCACCAGTTGACATCCGCTGCCAGACTGACTTCCCCAAGACTGCGTTTGAGTGCCCTTTACCCTGATAACCCCAGGGGTCCACCCACGCACACTGATTTACATCTATAAAAACAATAATTATTTAAATGCAAAGAAATTGTAAGCAAGCACTGATATAAGCTTCAGTGCTCCAGGGCTTCATGTAGGAAAAGGCCACCGAAACCGGTTCTTAAAGCAAAAGTAACAATATTAGCTCATCATTGGCCCTAGCATTGCAACAACGGGACCTGCCATCATCATTAACACCTTGCTGGGCCTACCAACGTTTTATTTTAGTTCATTTATTATGCACCCCATACCCATCCTGTGGGCGGTAGTGGAAAGTGTTACAGAGGCACATAATGGGCTCAGGGACTGAGCCCCACAATTCATTTAGCTAAGCAAGTTACAATCTTGTTGAGCTAGTTACATAATTAAATGCACATCTTCACGCGAACAATGGGACGATGGGAACCTCTCGCGCCGTTGGGATGTCCTACTTTCACAACACGAAAGCCTCATTACAGGAGCAACAATACAATATGACTGGGCAGGCCACTATATCTTGACCAACCTCTCGCCCCATCCTAACTTAGTTTTCCGCCACCCATCCTACCCCTGTACTCAACCTC